CAAGTTCCAATTAGAGAAATTATTTGAACTGAATCATTATTACCCTTACCTCTTTTTGGCACAAAGTCAGTGGTTTAGAAATTTCTCTATGAAATGGGACACCCATTAATAATATCATATGCCATCAGTTGTCCCTGATAGACTTTCTGTAATGTGATTCAGTGTTACTATGCAYATTCAGGTGGTATTTCACTGCTCTTAAACTTGTCTCAAACTCTTCTTCATTTCTGGTAAAACCACTTTTTTACCAGCATTTTCTGGAAATGTGTCATTCAGTGTGAAGTGAAAGTTTCTGTATTTTTCTACCACTGTGTTCCTTCAACTAGTCCCCAACAGTTGTAAGACACTATCTTAATGAGAAATTTGTAAKGCTAGCACAGCTTTTGTTTGAAGTACCTTCCTGAACGTTTTCATTTGTAAAGCCAAGTAGCCCTATGTGTTTGACCTACATCACTAGTCCCTGGAGTGAACGTGTAAAACAGGGTAAAGGAGTGAAATTAGGTTTGGCCATTATCTCAGATAGCAATACCACAAAACCTGAGCTAAAACCTCTGATTATTCTTTCAAATCTAATTGTGCAGTTGAGTTTTGATTCATCCGTGTGGCACCTGAGTGATTGTTTAAGAAATGCATTTCCATAAATGAGCCTTGTGGACATGAAACAAGTTGAGAAACAAAGCACAACGAGAAAGTTAGAGGGAAGAGTGATTGAGGCAAAGGCCTTCACAATAAAACTTACACCTACACTTCTCTTTTCATCCCTCGCTCATGGCCACTCTGACCTCGTATCTTTGTTAGAGATAGAAAGACAAACGGTACACAGAAATGAACACTCAAAATAGTTGTAGTGTTTGACAGATGTTAATACATGAGCACATCAGGTTGGGAAAATCAGCTCATTATCTGTTTATTGAACTAAGTTCTGGCAATTTTTTGAGTTGACTGAGGTGGAACTGCTGTGGCAGCAATCTTCACTTAGGTTGACTTCAAAAGTTAATCAGTTATGGATGGAATGCGCATCTATTGATTACTTTCTGAAACTTTTAATAAAATCTGTCGACTGGTTCATGGTTTATTTTGCTAACATAGTTCATTACAATAGTTAAAGGTAAAGGTTTAAGCAAATATTTAATGCAATCAGTGCTCAGAGTTTGGGTTGGAGTTTATTCTTAACTTCTACTGCACTAAATTTTAGTGCAATAGTTGTAAAATTGACAATGCCCTAGTCACTTAACTGCAACATTTCTTGAACCAGTGGACAAATTATACAAACACCTGTACACACAAAAGCACACAGGAAAAAGCTATATTGATTGCAATAAAAACTACAAAACAGCTTCTGAGGCTTAAAGTTTGAATGTTAAACTTTACATGAGCACGTTCTGTAAAATAAGGAGGCAGAGAGTTCAGAGGACAGAGTGAGCTTGAGAAAGATGGCTAAAAAAAGAAGACTTTCAGCTACAACGTTCCCTGTTGAGCAAACACTGCACTCACTAAATTTCAATAAGTTTTGGTTCCATTTGCAAAGTTAGTACTTGTAAATTCATTTTGTTTCCCAGGTTCGTGGAGTCAAAGGAGTTTTCCTGGCCAATCAGAAGGTCGATGGTAAAGTGACAACTCTTATCACTTTTAACAAAGGACGAGACTGGGAACCCTTGACCCCTCCTACCACTGACATGAATGGAAAACCAGTCAGCTGCAAACTGGTAAGCAGTCCACATATTCAGATTTATTTGCTGGACCAGGTGTCTTGAAATACAGTTTATGTGTCCTCAATAAAACTGAAATGTGAACTTTAACTTTCCTTTACTAACATAAAAGATGACAAACGATGAAAAAAACATTCTTGTCAGGTAGGAGTGTTGTCTTAGATGTCTCAGACTATAATCAGTCTCTACACAAACAATGGAATAATTGAAAACAAAATAAAACAAAAAAAACGTTTCAAGATAATATTTATTCTGGTCTTTTTTGGCAGGTATATAAATTGTATGTCTTGTGTTGTGACACACACAAAAATTAAAAAAATATTAAAGTTCACATCAACTACTCGAGGGCTATGTTTTTGTCAGCTAAAAACAATTAATAATATCCTTTCTTGAAATGGCTTCTGTTTGCTGACTGAGGCATTTTAAAGTGTTTGAGCACTCAGAATGTATAAAAGTTCTTGAGATTCACCTTCTACAGAAGTTTTTTCTATATATTGGCTGTAAAACTGGAATTTTTCAGCAGGATTTTACCAAGGATTTGGACCTTTGTAAAAGCTCATTCCCATGGTGCGATAATTATGTAGTGGCCACAAGAAAAACTATTTTTAACCAATGCCATCGGACGGGCTCTGTACATTCCTTACTTAAGGGTACCAAAGATTTAGCACTTTCTTCTCTGTAGATCTTACTGTTGTAAATCTATTTTCTGATGCTTTATTCTGATGCACAACCAACTGCGATTCTGAGATTCCCAGACTTCCCTATTCCCAAAACATCTTTATTTGAAGGTGTTGAAGGCATTTTTACCTGGTATCCAAACTACAACTGGCTCCTTTTGACACTCATTTATGTATCCTCATTTTATCATGGTAAGCTGTACTTTTTAGGGCAAGTAACCCGTCAAGTCTTCAGTGTCAAATTGGTTCTGGGTGAGAGCCAAGACAAACTGTGATTCAGGAACCCTTACAATGATATCAGTGCTAAAGGATCACAATACCTTACCCTGAGCCATGGTGACTGTTAATCATGGGATCTGACTTGGCATAGCCTAAATGAGTTGCATGGGACACCCTTCCTGTAGGAGGAGCCACACGGATCACTGGGCCTTATAACTTACTTGTAGGTGACCTGTAACCTTAACTTATTTAAAGGGCCAATATTACCGTATGTGTTTCTCAGGCATATATTCAAATACTATACATTAACAAAGTATCTATGTCACCTTTAGCTGTTATTAAAATGCTGTTTTTATGTTTAAAAAGAAAATAAACATATCTTCTCATCACTTCCTCTCTCTTCTAAAGCCTTGAAATTGGCCTTTCTCTTTAAGAACCTCCTCCTGCTTCTGTCCCGTCCCCGGGGACAGAAGCAGCGGGGTGGGGGGGTTTCGCCCATGCGCTATGATGCAGTTTACTTGGCATCTGAAAATACATTTCCTCAAAGGTATTTTGAATCTGAAAATACATTTCCTCAAAGGTATTTTGAATCTGA